AAACTTATATATTATTATGTTTAAAGTCTCTTATGCCTTGTCCTTTTTGTAAAGATATAAGGTCTTTACAAAAAGGACAAGACATAAGAGACTTTAAACATAAAAGATTTTATGTCTTTACAAAAAGGACAAGGCATTTTGTCCCCTCTTAATTTCGATCCTAGAAATGCGCTTTAAATGCTTGCGTTAAATCGAAAATAAAATTTATGATTTATGATATACAGTATAAAATTCTGTTTTGACATTGTTGAAAAAATAATGGTATTTTTTTTTTTTAACAGGTGGGTGATAGAGTGGTCGCCCTTCCCGATCACAAAGCGTGGGCGGAGCTGGTCACTGTGCCGGCAACGTCCGTTTTCGCGCTACCACCCGGAATGAGCTATCTTGATGCGGCCGCCATCACCATGAACTACACCGTAGCTTATATTCTGCTCTTCGAATTGGCCCATCTCACGCCCGGCAAGAGCTTGATGCTTCACAGCGCCGGCGGCGGTGTGGTAAGACGACGAATTTTTCTTTTACACTTGTATTTCTATCACCGATAAAAAGGAAAAGAGGAATGAGGAAAGGGAGAGAGAAAGAATCGCTCTTCGGAAAGATACGGAGGAGATGATAAATTGTATTTTTTAATTACACTCTCTGCTCAATCATATCCTTAATCATGAAGAATTCGATATGCTTATGGATGTATCGTAATTATTACGTTCGATTATACGCACATACGCGATGCGGTATATCTTTTTTTAATTCTTCTTTTCTTTCTCTTCTCCTTTATTACAAATTGCCTCGGTACGTTGCAGTATTAAAGATAAAGTCGTAATCCGCACAATCGTGTGCGATGCATAGCATTTTTTAATCATATTTCCTCTTTAAAATTCTCTATAATCATTATCATAAAGATTCTACTCGTTTAAAGATATCGTACTTATATTTTTACGTTCAACCAACCATAAAAGTGAAATCGAGCATTTCAACAATATTTACTTATCCGACATTAACAGCTGTTCCTTATACCAGATCGATATATTATTAACTCGACATATATTTTTAATATCTATTTGCTTATATATACATATACATAATTTATTGTGCGCGTGATTGTATTAAGTTTTATGGCACAATGCTCGGCACGATAATAATGTTGAATTATACAGTGATTTATCGTTAAAGTAACAGTTATGCAAACAGTATGTAAACGGTAAAATTATGCCTTTAACATACAAAAGTGTTTAACCAACAATAACGCGAATCTGCGAAGAAACGTTTTCGCGAGTTTGGACAGCTTTACCGCAATACATACCATGTGTGCATAAACGAGTTAATGTCTCGCGCATAGACATTTTGCTCGTAAACGCGAATAGCCGACATCTTCGAAGCATGTTTACGTTACTTGGAACACACTACAAATCTAATAAGTAGCGGTATTACGGCCATGGCATCTAAATCGTCGAGAGCAAGCGACGTTAACATTATTGCTAGAACCGTTTTATGGAAAACGTTTATATGCGAAAGACGCGGCACTTATGACATTTTTCTTTAAATCCGTTACGCTATATTTTACGAACGAGAGTATAACGGAGTCTTTTTAACTCTTATGACGGTCAGATATCAAACAAGTTTACCGTAAATTTTTATTAAATATCTAAATAAAATTCTATGCATCAAATATTATAAATCCTTTTTTCTCTTTCGATTTCTCCCCCTTTGAGTTATCGAAGTGAGATTTGCCAAGCTTTATTTACTCACTCTGGAGACCAATTTAAATCCTACAAGACCCAAGCTTGAAGGCATTAAATACTTCGCGGGGTGCGAATGTTGAAATTTCATATAAGCGATGGTAGTTGGACTTTCGGACGGCTGTTCGTGCGAGCCGAGGGGCGGTGGCGGAGGGAATCGAGAAGGTTAAAGCACCAAGGAGATATTTCCGGGTTCTTTGGCCACGCGGGGTGGTTTCTCTCTCGACGGCGAACGAGGAGAAGCAGAAGAAGAAGAAAAAGAAGAACCGTCGGGATCAATACGGCTCAACAGGTTACACCCGAAACCAACTACGGCTGGCGGCAAACCATCCCCTTCCCCCGCCAGCCGCTTTGCGCCCCCTTTCCCGGACGGTTGAGACGGAAGGCGAAATCTACGGGGGATGCGGGGCGCAGATCGCACGGGGGTGTGAGGGTTGCCAGGCAACCTTTCGCTCTCTCATCGACCACCGTCATGGACCGCGCCCGTCTGAGACCATACCACCACCACCACCACCATCACCATCACCCATCACCGGCACGTCACCACCACGTGGCGCGACTTTAAGCTATTTTCACACCGTATCGGTATCGTGTGCCACGTGTATGACCGGCAACAACTCGATCGATGGATGCCCTGCTATGATATTACGGAAGAACTTGAAGAACTTAATTAAAGACGATTTCCGTAACGATCTCCTGGCTCTGTTTTGAATGCCTCACAAAGAAGAAATTCTCTTGCCATGTGTGTGAGATGTTATTATGCTACGAAAGAAAGAAACTATTTAAAATCCAAATACGAGATGTACTTAAGGAGAGATATATTTCTTATGTCATTGTGTTCTTTCTTTGTTGTTGAATAAGCTAGGGCGAGCATTTTGTCGAGTTAATTATATTATCGATAGATATTAGCTTTTTTATTCTCTTTAATATTTTAACTTCTTTGCAATATTTATTTTTTCTGTGATTTTATATTGGATAATGCGATGAAAATAGTATTCTATATTTCAAATTTAGAGACAAATTTTTGCTACGACGGGTCTTAACTTCGCTTTTTTAGTTGTACTTTATTGCACTGTTGGTACTTAAAATAGAGAAAGGCAAAATAAAAGAAACGTAGTATAAATCAATAAAAAGACGGGGCTTCATATGTCGCTCATAAAAGCCGGCTATAATTTTGCAATATTATTATAAAAAAATTAATGGTCGACGCGATTTAACTGTTTCTTTGTCTCTCTAGTGCTAGCTGTAAAAGATAAAGAATCAGTTAAACGAGAATTAAAGTGGCTGCTAGAAATCTTAACACACTATTCATACTACTAAATAATATCGAGTAACAATTGACAACCGTTCTTAACAAATGCATGTAATATTTTTGATCATGTATTTTGCACGGTATACTTGATACATGCATCTCCACCAGATATATCTGAAAGCTTTTCCGAATATATCGTACCTTCTTCATAAAGAAAACCGAAAAGGCGACAGAAAGAAAGAGATATGATGCGATCCTTTTGAAAGATTCACGAGAAGAAGGAAAGTTCTCTCGACGTGATCAGAAAGCGGTATTTTTCACGAGTCGAGTGCTCTCTTTTTAACGGAGAGCTTTTCTGCTCTACGTGACTGGTTTTCCCGGACTAATGCGCGTAGAATCACGCGTAAAAGTGTCCGCGTTTTCGCGCGGTCGCATTTCTCTGGGCTGTGCGGAACCTATTGTTGTCGGGGAGTATGAATTATAAATCCCACGCTATATACGTCATCCTTATCCTTAATGTCAAGGGAAGGATGAACGAGGAGCGGTGGGCGATACATTGTTCCTCAAATCGCATGGATCAGTTAATATTAATTAAATCATTGTCTGCGCGAGAAAAAAAAATTTCTGCTCCGTGAAGCATCATCACTAAAGCTTTTATATATAGTATAATAAATTTTTTAATTAATATATATAATCATAATTTATTATTAATAATTTAATAAATATGATAAAATTATATTGAAAAATTGAAATATGTTTCTCTCTTGCATAATTTTCACATGCGTATCTCTCTCGTGATGCATACATACATAATTTGTTGCGGTTACTTAAGGATTCTGGATCCTCTGTCTTTATATCTCTCTCTCCCTCTTCTTCTGCCTCTCCCTTTTTTTTCTCATTTATACTCTTCTTCGAGCCCAGAGCGCTCGGCATCGGTCGCCGAGTATCGAATTCTCGACAAGGGGCGGAGAGGAATGAAAAGCAACGAGCGCGCGATTCTCGGAAATAATGTATGCCGCTTCTGTTGAAAATCTCGGGCGGCTGTGTGCACGCGGCTCTGTCTCTTTTTTCTCCTATCTTAATCCCGTCTCATCCTTTCTCAAGTTATACTTCTATACGAGTGAACGCGCTCAACATGAGCCCAGCGTGCGTAACTGTATTTTCTCAACAAAAAGTAGCTTGCATTGCGAAAGGGAGACAGAAGAAGAAAGATAGCAGGGATTGGGGTATGCCTTTTAGCATACTTTTTAGCGAAATGTCAAAGACGAGCAGGAACATATGCGCTATTTCTTTAATACTGCTTCGAATGTCTCATGATTTTTTTATCTTAAATTTTGATACTGATTGCATCAATGAGGAATATTATTTTTATTCGATTTAGGGTCAAGCGGTGGTTCAGCTTGCGAAAACCGTGAAGGATGTAACCATCTTTGGCGTCTGTAGCAAATCCAAGCACGAAGCTCTTAAAAACGCCGGAACTATCGACTACCTTTTGGAACGCGGCACAGACTATAGCAACGAAGTCAGAAAGTACGTACACGATATCGCGCGTGATACATTTGCGTGGCCTCTTTTTATTGCTTTTATAATATTTTTCAAGAAATCTTAAGATATAATCAACATATAATATAATCAATCGCTATACGTATTTCTGATTGTTTAGAATCTCCCCGGAAGGCGTAGATATTGTCTTAGACTGTCTATGCGGCGAAGAATGTAATAAAGGTTACGCCCTCTTGAAACCGATGGGCAAGTACATCCTTTATGGATCCAGCAATGTCGTCACCGGGGAAACTAAGAGCTTCTTTTCCGCAGCGCGATCAGTACGTAATTCGACATTACAGATTAATTCGATTCTTCTAAGTATAACAATACAATTTATTCAAACAAAATAATATGTCATATTGAATAAAATATGTATGTATTCTTTAACATTCTGCTGTAATATTTTGTAAATTTTCAGTTTTCTTGAACTGTTTAATTCTCTAAAGTTTTTTTCTTCGTGGTATCTCTTTAATATTATATTTACGTTATCTTTATGTATTCTTTCATTGTTTGTCGTTTAGTGGTGGCAAGTCGATAAAGTGTCGCCTATAAAGCTGTTTGATGAGAACAAGACATTGTCCGGATTGAATCTACGCCACTTAATGTACCAACACGGCAGTCATGCGTTTGTTCGACGGGCGGTGAATCAAGTGTATACACTGTGGAGCGAGGGCAAGATCAAACCAGTGGTGGACTCAACATGGGCGCTGGAGGATGTACCCGAGGCTATGCAAAAAATGCACGATCGCAAGAACATCGGTAAGATCGTGCTGGATCCGAGTCTGGAGCCGAAGCCCAAACCAGCTACGCCGGCTAAAGGCAAAGCAAAAGACAAGAAGGCCGCGAATCAGGAGGAGAAGAAGGCGTCTAGCGTAGAGTCGGAAGAGGGGGAGAAGAAGAAAGAGCCCGAATTAACAAACGGTACCTCAGAAGACAAATCTGATAGCGGTAAGAAAATAAGATGTAATGAATTTTTGGAAACACAATTACATTAGACATGTTATTTTTTTCGTATATGATTCCATAAATATTATAAACTAAACTCAGTAAAAATCTAAAGATTCGCTCGTATTTTCTGTTTCAGATTCCAAAGAAAAGGAATCTAGCTGAATTAGCGGAAACTAAGATGAAATTGATGAAATTGATATCCGTAAACGTCAAGAATTTTCCAAAAGTACTATTGCCCGAAAGAATGAAAAATTAAGTTCGTTTTAAATAATACACGAGCGATATCGCGCAAAGTTTACATGCAGATGATCCATAACAAATTATATCATACAACTTAATATAATGGACGAATATTAATATCCAAACAATTATCTGGAATACGAAAATTCGATTTAGTAAGTAATCGATTGCTTACTAAGGTACTCTTACTCTTACACATTACTCTTTTATGTCCAAAAGCCACCGTTTTTAACGCATATCATCTGCACGTAAATGTCCTCCCCTACATTTGCGCCGAGATTAAGAATTCATGCGAATTATGAGTGAAGGAGAATCAACCAGCATATTACATAAGAACGAGAGAAGCAACCAAATAGAAATAACAATCTTGATGCGGTCCACAGTAGTTTACAGAATATAAGAACGTTATGTTTATTTTTTCACATCGACCAAATGGTTAATTTTGCGAGGAATTAAGTAAACGATTGTTGGATACCACGTAGTCATTAGGCAGCTTGATTCTTTTTTCTATTACCTCTATTATTTTAGGAAATGGATGTAACTAGCCTTTCCGTACTTATTAAACGATCGAGCTCATAAACACGATATAATAGCAGTTTAATAACTGTGTGTTGTCCAACAGTTATCTACTTGGCTCTATTTATCTGTATCGGATACTATCGCTGCTACTACGGTATATACTAACACATTCTCTCTTATACTAATATAATATTACCTCTATTTGTAATTTATAATGGGATAAAATAACACATTGCGCTAACGTTGCATTTCCGCAAAGAAAAGCTAAAAATGCAGAGCTGCATTACTTTCGTATATAAATTTTACGTATTACAAAGATGTTTTTACACTACTTTATTATTCATCGTGACCCTTTTGTCACGATGTAATATCCTTTTAAATTTTAACGATAGCGATGAAAGTCAAGAGTAATATTTAGTACACTACATATACAGGGCATTTAGCTGAGATTTGGATGCTCTTTTTTCGTACATTTTCATACTTCATGTAGTTCTTATGTAAAATTAGTTATAGACTTTTCTCCTATGTAGATTTTCCTATGTAAAAATTGAAAAGTAGAAAAAAATTGAAATATTAAAATGTAACTATCTAACAGCTTATTATAATCGGTATTTTTCTAAATCGAAATTATCTCTTTTTTTTTTTTAAATCACGTGCGTTGATCTTTGCAACGATACATCAACGAACTTTCAAAATATTCCGATTAAATTTTGGAAATTCGAAATATAATGCAAAATTAAATATAAATTGACTCGCGTTGATGTTTATTATATGCTAGAAATGGTGGATAATCGGAGATTTGATATCTAATCTGAATATAAGAGAATTGATTATATGACATAAATTAAGCAAAAATGTATGTAATTAGACTGATTAATTACGGCTTGAAACTATAAGCCTAATAGAGATATTATTCGGCACATAAGTGCTTTGAGAATTATTTTAACGAATGTTGGCGTACTATTATTTCACCTTGTGACTTTCGAATCAGTTTTAACAAAAAATCGGGCGTATATGCTCGTATAATACGATATCTCATCGTTTTTATTCAAGTGTGCGAACCGATGATGTACTTTAAAAGCTCCAAATAACTTTATTGTTTAAATGAAATTTTATAAACATATTTAATGACGTTGCATCAACATGTACATGAAGAGTAATTTAATGAATTAGCATCGTAGAATATATCGCTTTTCTTACGAGAAGGAACGAGTTTAAAAAAAAAATACGCAAGGCCTCATTTTCTATTATCACGCGCGTGAATACATAGTTGTGTCGCTTAGGACGCCGAACGCGTGACTGCAATCCGATAAATTATGTTAAATCCGCATTGCGGTCTTTCTTCAACTTTCGAACCTTCGAGTAATATTTTTGCGACGGTCGTGATATATTGTTGGCCGTTCTACGTACGCAAAAAATAGTGAAGAACGCGTTATTAACGGCGATCTGTTGAGCGAGAAGATTTTCATAATAATATAAATGAAAGATTAAAAGGATCCTCGCGAGTCTCTCGAGAGAAAGTGAGATAAAAGAAAAAAAAATTTCGAGGGCGTGTCCTCTCGATGGAATGCGGCTCAGTGGAGAACCTGACCGATGCAGAACAAAGTGTGCATATCTCTCCGGAACGTTGGAACAATTTTGGTGTAGCCGATTTCGTTAGGATTTGATACTAGCTCTGTATACCGATATCTATATTATACAAATCATTATGCGAGAAGAAAAAGACGCGTGGACGAGAGGAAAGATATGTGTTGATATCGCGCGCGAATCTCGAATTGTCAGAGAAGCGCACGAAAGAGCCACGAATTACTGCCGTATCGAATCTCTCGGTCCAAAAGTACATAATAATATCTTACTCATCAAGAAAACGTATCGATCTGAAAAGAAAAAGACAAAAAAAGTGTGAAAAATGCAAAAAACATGATAAATGTGGCTGCATATTTTGAGACATCTTTTAAACACGTAAGAGATACACTTAATCCGACACGAAAACACGACACACGCCCATACACAAAATACGACGACATACATCATACTGTATATTTTATTGTAAGGCTTTAAATGTTTCATCAAATAACTCTATTATATTATAATATATCTATATATATTTGTATCGATCGTTTTCTCCTGCCCTGATTTTTTTATTTAGGTCCGAAGCACGAATGTCGGAATAATAAGTCTGGGATGTGCGAGTGTTATATGTGAGATTAGATGCAAGAGCTTTAAATTTAAAGAGCGAAAATCGATTAATGACTGGTTACTTTTTTATTATAATTGGCAATTTTAATGCAGCAATCAACTCTCGTATGCCGAAATTGCGTTTTTGCAGATATTATACATTATTTTATTTACATGTCGTTAATGACATGTCATGCTTCTGTATAATTAGCAGTGTATTTTTATGTATTCTCAGTTTCTTTTCCCTTGGAAAAATGCTTTGCATGAGTAATTACTTTTGATGAAATGCCGACCATGAGAATTTAGATTGATTTTCGATTATTAATACACTTAAGAGAGGCCGTCGCACTCCAAAAAAATTTACATAAATCAGATTTACACAAAAATGATGAAATTTTGCGCTATATCGCGTTAATATCGTAATCAAAATGTATTTTACCACTGCGAAATGCTATTCTAATTTTAGAACATTTAAATGTGCACAAAAATTGCGCGGATATTACGATATTATTACGGAAAAATTTTATCTCTCTGTAATTGCTACATATATATACATATATAATACATATATAATTTCTAAGCATTTTATGAAAATGCATATCTAATGCGCCATATTCTTGGATGCGCGTTACATGTTCACGGCTATATCGTTTAACTAAGCCGCTTTTAAATTTTAAGAGTCGACTGAATTTAAACATTTTAAGCTGCGAGACAATCTGCGCAAACTGGCATACTGAAACATGTTCGATAGCTAATGACCGAAATGTATGTATATGATTTCATGCCAGCACGCAAGTGTCATTTAGCAGTAATAATTCTATTTACCTGTTCTAGGACGAATCCTTGAAACAAATCGTGCATACATTATAAACGATTGTCAAGAATGATAAGATGGAAATTGTTCGCAATCGTTACGAAAAAGGGGTACGCGGCCGGGGAATCCGTTTCCGAAACTCGGTGACAATTTTTTGCCGTTTGAAGTATACTTTTACGAAAGGCTCGTCTCAAAGCTATAACCATTCCGTTGGCACGATAGAGAGCGAGAATGAGAGGATATTGAGCACGCGTGCGTCTCTTATTAGTTATGCGAACCCGCATCGTTAGAAAGCAGGACCTACAATTTTGCGAACGTGATACATTATGATTGTGTAAAATTGTAAAATTTGTCGAGGGGTCCGGGCGAAAGCAACAAACGCTTTTTCCCACCGCCGAGATTCTTGATCGCGATTTAAATACGCCGAAGAAGCTCACGGGAAAAGGAAAAAAACCTTCGCCCGCTCCCCGTCAAGCTTGATATAGATTGTATTTTTGGCTTATTATTGTAAGACTGACTATGTTGCTATATTAAAGATTGCTTCGAAAACACAGGGCGAAACTTGATTGCATCTGCTTCTTCCTCTTTCTCTCTCCTGTATCCTAGTATAATCTCTCATCTCTTTCTAGAAGAGAATATAACTTTTCATTCGAAATCGAGCAAGGTATATTAAACAATATATATGAAATAATATTTTTTATTCTTTATATATTGTATAAAGGTTATAAAACTTAAAAATATGTATTAAATACGTATTAAATGTGTTGATTTCTAATATCAAAAAAAAAAAAAAAAAAAGAGTCGTGATACATTATACTGTATGTATAACAAAGATCATTTTGCGATGATTTGTGTTATTAAAATACTTATTTTATCTGTATTATGAAGCAGACTTCTTTTTCTTGGACGGTATCTCAAGGCATTACGCACATACGGATGTATTTTAAGAATCCGTTATATATTTATAATCCGTATTACGTCGCGTGTAATAAATAATTTTTGCGAAGATCTATGAAAGCTGCTATTTATGAATTGCGATAATCATGTTTGAAATTCAAGGCAGACCCTTAAAGCATCAGTGGTGCGTAACTAATTATTTTATTAACTACAACTTAAACTTTTACGTATCTTATAAGTCATATATATATATCTATATAAGTGCTATGTTATTAAAATAGATCTTTAACGTCTTTTTTTTTTAACAGATACATATCTATACACATAAATGTATTTTCTTGAGGCACTAATTATCGGGACGGCATAAAATCTCTTGATCCACGCAAGTACATATTTATATATAAACAGGACGGTATCATTATAATTTACTCGATTTTGAATCGAGTTTTGGAATATTTGTCTCCTATTCTACTATTTACACATTTTGCCGAATCACACATTCAAATCTTGTGTTGCTTCTTTGAATGATTCTTTTTGTATATATTCAAAAACTGAAGTAATATAAAAAACAGGAAGCAGTTCTTTTTTTTTTTAATCAAGAATTTTAACGAGCACTACGAAGGCACGATCTACAAATAATATATAATTCTGTAAATAATATAAATAAAATAAGGAATATCCAAGAATGAAGATGAAAACTATTGAACAAAAAAAATTTGGGAGAAAAGCGTTTTACATAGTTTATTAAAAATCCGAAACTAGTATATAATGTATCCTCTTTGATATACTCTTTTAATTACTACGAACACTTTTGCCGTTATTATTTTGGTAATAATAGTTAATAGCATAGCTAACGAAAATCGCTGGCTACAACTATTATGTTTGATTTGTACTTGAGATGCTTTGCCTCCAAGAGTACAATGCCCTAACCATGTAAAAAACAACTTTATGCATTCTAAAAAAACACAGGACGGATAATATAATATTTATAAAAGTAATAATAATCGTCGAACAATATACAATCAAATTGCTTGGGCGTTGTAGAAAACGCCTAAAATTACTCTCAATCAATATTCTCCGAAATGATTACTTTCGACAATACAATCTTAATCATGATGTAATATATGAGTTTTGTTTGTGCATTTTGTATTAGAGAGTAATTAATATTATGCTTTTTGCTTATTGCAAAACCTCTTCGGATAAATAATAAGAGATTATAAATTGTTTTATTTCATAATTGATAATATGATCTTTTAAAAAATTTTAGTCTCTATAAATATAAAAGCGCATAAAAATAAGTCAAAAGATAACAAAATTTTAGTTGAATATATCTCTTACATAAATTATATAGCATAAAGAGAAGAGATCTTCGATATAAATATCGCATACAAAAATAGTCAAAATTAACAAAAACAAATAATTGCTTTCATTGAAAAGAGGAATTAAAACTCATAGCGTAATCATTTTAATAATGGCTGTTCGCGTAATTACGCGGAATAATTAATTAAAATTATTGATTGTTCTCGCAGAAATAATTTGTCTTCTATTTGACTCGCACATTCTTATCATTTTTACAAAATTATATGTTTCGATTATCGTACCATTCAATATTTGTGCTCTGTTAGCAAAGGCAAACCATGGCAATAGAAATTGACAAAGATCGAACGTTTTTACCTTTGTAATTATTGCTAGCCGTCACCGAATTGTTGCGTTTGGAAATACCTTGTTATCGTGACGACAAACGATGCGATAAGCAGGAATCCTGTCGGTGTGGCTAAAAGTGTAGCGACATTGTAAATTGGGCAGTAAGGACACTGTGAGCTGCCACAAACCTCGCATATATTTAAAGTATACGTTGGCAGTGCATCGAATATAGATTCGTTGAAACGTTCTGAAACAAGAATAGTGCAAATATGAATTAATCTCATATATAAGCAATGTAAAATATTAATATACTTATAAATACCTGGCGAATAATAGTCGTAAATGCGAATGGGAAGATATCGCGACATATTTGCGACAGGATACCAACGTTCCACTGTGAAGTTTACGCATGTCTCTTCGTAGTCCAGATAATCGAAGTAGAAAAGCACTTTCTTGTCTTGGAAACGTGCTCTCTGGAGATTTCTCACCCGTTTTGATAAGATGTATTTATCCAGCGTTTGCTGCTGGATTATGTAACCGGTTGGTATGGCTACATCCAACACAGCCATACCAGAACGCGCGGATTCATTGAGATTCGTCCATCTGTACGAAGCGCAATACATTTTTATAGCAGAAAAAATAAAAATAGCAAGATATTATTATGATTGTTATAATCTCACCTTTGACAACTAAGATATGAGATGTGAGATTGATTTCTGCCGTGGAAGTTCGCTCTGGTGACTAGATCGAAGGCTTTAATCGGTGGCTGCGTTTGGAATCTTTTTATATCTACGTTATACTGCACGTGCATTTGTAAAATAGCATAGCCCGCGCCTTTTGCCTGCACTTTCACAGTTCCCCATGCTTCCGGTATCTAAAAAATAATCATACAATTTATAAGCATCGCTCTGACATCGTTTTGCGAAATATACGCATATCTCGAAATATTATGCACCTCGATGGTTTGAAGTCTTGCCAGATTCTTGTCGTTTACGGTCAATGTCTTGGTCTGTCCCGGCAAAGCGGTAGCCTCCACTGTTACCATGAGCGAACTGACATCCCTAATTCTCGATCTCACGGTGTATTCCATTAGCGCCTTCATCGCCCAAACGGTATCCTGAGTAGAGGCCCATCCACCATCCGTTAATCTCTGTGCATTCAACCATTTAACAATCGGTTCTATCATGATCTCTTGTCGGGCAACGTGCACGAGTAACGCGTATGCGGTTGTTTCTATGTTTTCAGAGTCATATTTGTAAGGTAAGCGCGGTAGCAGGAAAGGCTTCTGATTCTCTAACTTGTACGGAGGAAGCGGCACCTGTTCTCTACCCCAGTACGTCAGCCCACCTTCTCTCCGTGCGTGTCTCGCCAGAATATTGAAAGCTTGTTCGGCGGTCGAGGCTTTCGCCATCAAAAGTGCATAAGCTACTATCGCTATTTCGAATGGCTTGCCGCGTTCTTCCAGCAGATTCAGATTTCTCTCCAACCATTTAATAGCATTGGCCGCGCTGAGAGCCACTTGAGAACCTAAGCCGCCAGTGAGATCTTTGACGCTTTCCAACGTGATAAGGACATGAGCAGTAAGACTAATGTTCCGATGGGCAATTATATCGTTTCTAAAATTCAAGGAACTGTTCTTCTTCCGGTCCGGCAGCCAGGTTACCTCGTAGAACGCGCCTTCTGGCGTTTGATGTTTCAGTATCCACGAAACTGCCTGAGATATCACCTCGGTATCGATGTACAAGTAGTTCTCCCATTCGTAGAAGCTGGCCTCCTGGAATACCCGTGCGCAAAACGCTGTCAACCAGACGCTTGACATCGACTGGTTCCAATCAGTGCGAAAAAAGCTGAAAGATCCATCGGGATTCATAAACGACAACTGTCGCTGATAGCCGATATTCATGTAGTAGAAGCTCTCTTTTTCTTGCGTGCGATTGCGCTGATTAATCAGACGCATGTACAGAGTGGTATACATATTGGCGGCGAAGCTAAACATGTTCTGTTCGGCGCAATCCATTGGCAGATTCATGAGGCTCGTCGCATTTACCGGCATTGTCGGAAAGATCGGTCCCACCACGTCGCCGACCAAACTAATGGTCGCCTTGTTGGATCCGAACACGTAATAACGGTTCTCATCATATGGTATGATCGGTGTCTCGGTGATGTTTACGTGCATGTATTGGAATACATAGGCTCGATTGCTGAGATCCAGTAGTATCGATTGATGCCGATGCTGCGGCACTCCGTCGGCCTCGACGTACAGATGGCGAGTCACCGAGTCCCTGCCAATTAAAGTGTTAGCGTAGATTTGAATTTTGATCTCGCCGAGTCTCATCGGTACGATGGGCAAATAAACGATGTTAGCATCCTGTGCAGGAATCCAGATGAAAAACTGATGTTCGCCGAAGGAAGTGCGTGGTTTGTACGACTGTACAATGCCATTGTCCTCGACGTGGACAAATTTGTAGTCTCTGGAGTCTGCCAATACTACCGTCGCCTCGATATTGTAACGCATGTAATTGAAAACAGACACACGAATACCGATCTGTTCGCCTTGCCTGCTGCGAGTCGGCATCTCCACATTTATGTAAAACGGCAGAACTCCGGTATATTCCAGCGCTCTTGGCAACATGCCGAAACCCATGCTGGGTGACATGCTGAATACTGTGACCATCCAATGAACCGGTCTTCGTGGCACGTCCAGGTTGAAGATCTGCCGGCCATGTGGACCGATATTAATGTCCTTCCACAACCAGACGTTTTCGTAATGCCTCTGAATTCGATTAAAACGCCATTTACGGAATTGCGCCAATTCAGTTGTGTTTCGCTCGACGCACCGCGTCTCGTCCGTGCCATCCTCGCAGTCAAATACACCATCACATTTTTTCTCCAACCTATAACACCGACCGGATAGACATTCGCCATATCCTTGAGTTTGATTGCAGAGTTCGTGCCGCCGGTGTATCACAGCATCCGTGAAGACAATCAAGCCGATATAATCAAACGTGCGATTGACGTCGATACCGAAAGTGGACGACGGGAAGTACACGATCTCGTCCGGATCACCGTCGTGATATTGCCAGGTGTGCAAATGAGTGCCATTGGTATCTTCGTCGAAGTGTGCCATTTTCGTGATCACGTTTGCATACGTTAGTTCGTTGCCTGCTTGCATAGTGTAGAATGAACGATCAATACCCGACAATCCAACGTAGGCGCCGGGTTCGCCATAGATGGCCACTTCGACGCGCTCGCCCGTTCTTGCTTTCTTGTTATTGATAAATACGGTGAAGTTGTTGCGTGAGATGCCATTCACCGGGAAAGTCAACGAATCTGCCACAACTTCGCCATAACGACCCACGTAATATACCACCGCGGTTGCAACGGGAGCCATCTCAGGACTTAAAGGTATCGCAAAGGTCTTTACGTTATGTTGCATATTGTCTTCTCCAGTCAAAAGTATTATACCTTTGGACATGATTATGTAGTTAAAGGCATCGATATAGAAATTGGTTTGTACATGAAACACCATGTATTCGCCAACTTTAGGTTTTTCAGTAGAGGTTGATATCTTGATGTGCTTCATATTCGGAGACTCGTGAGCGAGCAGTAGTAATTCGGTCTGGGTTCTGTAACCTTCACCGTCAGTCATGTGTGCGTAGATCCTCATAGAAGTAACATCGTTCAGAATCTGATTAACATCGCTGTTTTGCTCCAGCCCGAGTTGTTTTCTGAGATCCATTTTTATAGACCATACATCCGCGTGTTCCGGCGACACTACTGGATACTGGGTATCGATGCTACGACGTCCGCTTCGCATCTCGATGTCTGCGCGAATTTCCATCTTAGCGCCAGTGAGCTGCGTAAGTCGCAGCGGCGAGTTGTCATGAAAGGATGCAACTAGATTTAACGAAAACGGCATCGCGGGTTTAAAGACTTGTGGACTACCGCCGAGGAAACGGATTTTTGTAGTCGAATTAAAAATCCTTGCCGTAGAAAAGCCGACGACTACTTCATCCAAGAATCTCTCGCCTACTGTTGCAATTACGGTGACCTCCATTCCGTCGATGGATTGAACAATGCTCAATAATTCCTCCATAGGATATTGAAAATAATACGTTCCTTTAAAGAACCTCAATACTGGTATTCTCTCCTCAAAGAAGTTTAATGGTCTAAACCATGCTGGATAATATTCGTTAAAATTAAAATATCTTTCAACTGGGTCAATCTCCGAAGGATTGCGCGTTCTGTCCAATGGCTTGAAGCTGGCTTTCAAAGTTAGATTACCTCTCACCGGCGCGCCCGAGGTATAATTCGCCTGAACAATGCCATAAATATAGGGATCATTGTCGAAGAAGAACGCAGGCATCGTAACGTTCACCTCGAAACGTGTTTGATAGTACTCTTCTACCAAGAACGTTTTCTCCTCTACTTGACTCTGCGCTATTATTTGCACAATCCATTCCCCGAAAACAGGTTGATCGGATAATTGATATGACAGCGACACAGTACCTAGATTGCTCTGCCTGCTAAGCCATCTTCTCATAATTCTCCTGTTTGGATCTAACATAAATACATCCACAGGACTGTTATATGCTTTCAATTCTGTGTCTATTGGAATTGTTCTGAATCGCACAGTATCCCCTTGCATATACACAGGTTTGTCCAACTGTATGAATATAGTCATGGAACGTTGTGAGAATATTAATTTGGTTTCGTTCAAAAAGGCCTGGCCGCCTTTCAGACTGTTGTACATCCCTTCAATGCGCAGTTTATAATCACCACCTACGGATGTAGGTGGCATGCGCATCATTAGAGTTTCTGGTATGTTCTCCTTCACTTCCTGATAATCCGTTGCAACTTCTACACCATTGCGTTGAATAGATGAACGCACTGTTATAGGTAACGGGCTGTGAAGAATGTTTACAGCAACTCTGTACACTTGATCTGGTCTAACCATACGAGATGCAACGACAAAATATGTGCTGCAAATAAATTAAAAATTATATTGAATCTTTCAGTGATATTTCATTCGTATAATTAATGTTCTATCTTAGTATTTAATCCAATATACTGATACTCACGCTTCTTTAATTATAACATTCTCATTTTGACCTAAAGGATTTCGGTATCCAAAGCCTGTATTCTGATCCCTTTCATCGTAACGATTCCGTGAAGGTGGCCTTGAAGTAAATTCCGCTGATTCTTGGGTGAACTGGCCATTTCCAGAAGCCAACAATAATAAGAGAATCCAGATCGACATTTTTACTGAAATATATGATTCATCATTCATTTATATTCGATACAAAACACTCGAAAATATCACTTCAAATAGCGGCAATTAACATGTCGAATACTGCGCTGCGATTTCGATTAAAATATCCATGATAACATAAATAGATGTAATTTTTGATATATACATTCGTCACTACGTTTAATTAGCAGTACATGTAATTTGTTAAATTCAGTTGATCTTACATATATAAGTTATTCAGGTAGTATTCTAACTTCAGTCGCTACGTGTTTAATAAATAACACGCTAAAATAAATTAAAAAAGATAAATTACCCTCGCGGGGTTAGGTAGCACGCAACGGTCAACGCCCAAACGCGCATTCTTCGAATCATGTGTCATTAGAGCTCACCTTAAGGTGCCATTACATAGCAGCATCGAGCATCGATCGTCTGCGCAGAAATCATTGCGCAGTAATCTAAATGAGATAGATTCCAGCTTCTTGCGGCTAATAGCATGATGAGTGATATGAATTCGGCACGAAACAGAGTATGTCCTTTTCTACGTGAGCATCGGCCCCCACTCCTCAACACTCGGTCTAGATATACTATGTCTATGGTCTAGATATACTATGTCTATGATCGGAACACTGCTTTCGACATGTTTTTCTATCGGGAAACAAAGGCATTCCCCTTCCATTTATATATGTTCTAAGGAGAGAAGCCTTCTCTCTGCTTACAGCCTTGGTCGAGTACGGACGTGTTCTGACACGTTACGCGTGTGTCCTTTGTATACATTATATGCTAGATTCTGGCCGTATTAACCTTCGTTCGAGGGCAGGAGCCATTCAAGCAAAGAAGAAGAAGCGACACGTAACTGGGAAACCGCCTACGTAAGAGAAGGACCACGTACCCACTAACTTCAACGACGCAACGATTCCTAAGAAGAATATGGCGGCCGCCACGTCCTCCGCGACAACCGTCCCGTCCTCCGCAACAACCGTTACGTCCTCCGCGACAACCGTCTCGTCCTCCGCGACAACCGTCCCGTCCTCCGCGACAACCGTCCCGTCCTTAGCGATAACTATCATCCAACCGCCGCCGGGCACGTTGACGCCGATCGTCGATCGATGGCCAGGCAACCCACTCAATCTCAACGATCGTCCGGCATCTTATATCGAAACGATGCGGTATCTCGAATCGGAGAACTCCCGGTTGAAGCGGGAGGTGCAAACCACCCAGGAAACTTTCACTCGGGAAATGTCCAACATCGAGGCCGTACTCTCTAACAAACTGAAGCTGCTCGACGAGGCGGACACGAAACGCGTCACGCTCGAGCTCAATATCAAACGCTTGCGGGATGATAACGAAGATCTCAAGAACAAGTAAGTGATACTGTATAGTATTTTTTCACAGTTTCTTTACTTGCGAAATGGGTAGGAAAGTCAAATGGCATTAATAAAAATTATATTAATATTGATAGATATTGGCGTAATTGAGCTTGTGATATTTTGAGAATCATTGTGTCTGTCTAGAGTGTGAATTTCTATACAGAAATAACTCAATGTAAGAATTTTCATTCCATTTTGTGCTTAAACATGAATTGGGTCGCTTGTTGGATGCATGATAGATGTATACCATTGTTTAATGAATGCTCCTGTGATTTGCAATCGTGGGCGAAGTGCAAGACACTTACGGAGATAGAAAGTTCAAAGCAAGTGGAAGTATTGCTCACTTCTAAACATTGGATGAAGGAGCGAGACGATTTTGCAAAGGTTATCATATCGCGTGTCTTGCGCGTATCGTGGGAAAGCCCTATAGAGGGAAGCATATTTCTGCCGCAAACGGCAGCATACATGCAAACACAGAGAAGAATAAATTGTAGCGCTATTATCCATCAGGCATTGAAGGAGGTTTTGTTCATGTTTTCGAGAGGGGAGGATCCTTTGATAGACGTGTCATCCGACCGTGAAGACAGTCCGAATAATCAAGCGAGTCCTTTGTTAAGTTTTGTGGGGGCTTCTTCATCTTGTCAATTACCGATGATACCAATACCAGGCGACAACTCATCAGAACCGAAAAGTTTTACTTATTTATTAAATTGTTATACAAGAATTGCAATTGAAGAAAGAAATCATGGAAAGGTACGCATATACACACACATATCTTCAAAATTAGACAAGATTTTATTAAACTAATTTTTTTTTATATATTTTATAGCAATCCTGTCTAGTTCTCAACGAATTTCTCTACGAAATAGTGGCAATTTTGAAAGCGCTATGTGTTCACTATTCCAGCCTCGTTTTACAAGAGTTAATGGGCATTTACCAACCTGCTGTCATACCTTATTGCACCACTTATCTTTTCTATCGGATATTATCGCAGAACTTACCTCGGGGCTATCTTCGCGAGCTCGTGGCTAGGACACACACGGATCCGGATATGTTCGATCAAATTTTCACTCCAGTCTTGTATGAGCTGTATTTCGCGATACACAAGGCGAGCTTAAACGGCAATACGCCAAGAAGACCGATCGAGACGCTAAGCGAACTGATAGAGATTCGCAGTGGACCAAACAGCAATATACATCCGATTTGCCGTTTGATAACGAATCAAGTTCAATTCTTGCCTGATGTTATGACATCAGCAGCCGGAAGAGAGCTCTCGAGAACTTCACTTCTGGGACCGTTTCTCTCGGCATTGATATCTGCCGAAGTGCAACCGAAACTGCTGGAGATATTCTTCATTACAAATTTTGACAATCTGAAAAAGTCGACACTCCAGCTGCAGCCAGGGTTGGAGATTACCAGAATGTCGTTGCACAAGATGTTTGATACGATACTCGCGAATAGCAGTTGCCGCGATGCCACTCTTGCGTACTTGGCGGCGTTGCTACGTCACAACGAGAAACGCGCGCAAATACAGACGGAGGACAGTCCCTCCTTGGCCGAAGATGGATTTATGTTGAATCTACTATCAATTTTGCAAATGCTCTCTGTAAAGATCAAGCTGGATGCTGTAGATCCGCTATATCCATTTCATCCTTCCAATTTCGTCGAGATAAAGAACGACACAAGATTGAATCTCACTTCGCAAGAGGTTGCGGAATGGCAGAAACATTTGGACAGCACACATAAATGGACGGAACCGAAGTTTCCGACACAATGTTGGTTCCTCACGCTGCATTGTCATCGCATCGCGCTGTTACCGGCGTTGCAAAATTATCGGAGAAAATTGTATGCCTCAGAGAATTTAGTAAAAATGTTCGAAGAACTGCAAGCTACAGAATCTCAATGGAAAGATGGTCCTTTAGCGGAGCACAATAAAGACTTGATCAAACAATGGAAGCGACAGTTGAAGCAACTGGTTACATTCAAATTATGTGCAGAGGTAGCTCTGCTAGAGCCCATCTTTTTGAAAAGATGCTTACGCTTTTATATATCGGTCGCCGAATTTTTGCTGAGTCTTCTAACGCAGACTGTTCTGGATATTTCGCTTCCCAAACTTCCGTTGTCTCAAAAAGTTATGTGCAAATTCACCGCATTACCAGAATGGTACATGGAAGACATAGTGGAATTCTTGTTATCCATGTTCGAGTAAGTTTTTACTAAATTATCAAATATCACAAATTATACATAATGCTTATCTGGAGCTTATTAACAATTATAACTGCATTGTTTTATTTGCAGATTCGGCCCATATATGTGGTGGTTTGATATAGATATATCGCCGCTTATCACTTTGTTACTCGTCGTCGTGTGTACGCCACATTGTATACGAAATCCGCATCTTATTGCAAAAATCATCAAGGTTCTTTATAAGATTCAGGTAGGAGTTTGTACACGAGGAACAGAAACTTTTAGCCACAAATTCTTGGCACATCCTATATCCAAGACATTTCTGGCGTCGCATCTCATGAAGTTTTATACCGACGTTGAAATCATTAACATTAATTCCGAATTTGAGAATAAATTTACAGTATGTTATCACATAAGTGTGATCTTAAATTCGTT